CAGTTGTTTTATTTTTCTTGGTTTTGATTATGTGGTGACAGAGAGATTTGCCTGGTGCTCAACAGAAACCCAATTATTGAGAGGAACTTTGTTACCCTTCTTCCACTTAAAGGAAGTTGATAGTGTTTCCTGTAAAGTTGGGGTTCATTCTGTTAGATTTTTTGGTTTGTTTTGGTATTTGAGGAGTAGTGCTTATTAGTTTGTATTTATTATCTATCCCAAGGCATTTGAAGATGTAAATTCTCTCAAAGTGTTTCTTTAGCCAGACTTACACATTTTGAAATGTGAACTGTTAGAAGGCAAGGCTTTCATAGCAAAATGTCTCATAGGCAGTTAGGGAAGTTGTTCTTTTAAAAAAAAAAAAGCACATTGTAAGGATTAGGTGGAATCAGTTTTTCCTCCCAGGAATGCTTGTTCACTGACCTAATACGTAATAGTGAAAACACATTTATGAAAGCTTTGAAAATTAGATTTCTCAGCTGTGTGCATGGTTTCGCACAGATGGCAGATACGCTACAAAGTGTTGGAAAAAATAAATAGCAATGGTTATCGATGTTCCTGTATGCTGTGAAATGACGGCTGGGATACACAGAGTAAGTTGTCTGGAGTGGCCCCACCTGCATGTAGGGGGAGTCCCATATGGAAGTGTTTGTAGAAAAAGTGAACACATTGCTGTTTTCCAAATTTGATTTTGTAGCCAAAGCTTTGTAGCCTACAAGTTCAATATTGTTGTTATCAATTCCAGAAGTGTGTTTTGTGGGGGAGGTTCCTACTCACCCCCTCTGAAAACAGGATATCTATGAGGTCAGTCTTCTTGATACTTCATTCCACAATATAAAGATCTTTCCCAGCTGACCACCCCCCCTCCACATCTTCTCTTTCCTGACATCTCTTCCCTTAGGAGAACCAAAACCATGGGCTGCATTTCTCCTGTTTGTGAGCTCTGCTGTTTAATGGGTCCCATTTTAAGTGTATTTTTAAAAATCAAAGAAACTTCTTCTAACACATGATCTCTAAGGGCTATTTTTTTTCCAAGAAGTAGGATGTGACCTGCTATACAATTATACACACATACACATATATCAACTGAAACATATTTAAATGGTTGCAGTCAGTGGAGTAATGGCCAGATTTGTTTTTAAATGGTATGGCCCTTTCTATTTTAATTTTGGGGGAATGTGTAAAGAAACTAGTAAGAAGTGGTTTTGAAGCTAATGCCCAATGATTTTGCAAGACTGTGTCTTTGCTAGCAGTTTGTATACAAAAAACAGTTTACAGGGCCTTTGACATGTGTGTTTTTTAATATACCACAGAAATGAACTTAAATGGAATGCTGTTGTCTGTTACTGCTTGTACTATGAAAAATGTAAGAAGTAACCTCAACACTCTCTCTGAGAAACAAGAATGTTTTATATTTTCTCTAGAAGTACCTGGAGTGATTTCCTCAGGAGTTTTTGTATGGCTTAATGCATCGTAGAAGTCCCCAGGAGAAAATTATGCCTTTTGACGTTTAGCCCTCTTTGACAATATCACGTAGTGGATCAAAGATATTTCCCCTTAAATTTTAAGATTTTATAGTTTTCTAAAGCTTCTATGTGATAGGACACATGAAAGCTATAAGAAATGGACTAAAGATGAATCAGAATCCACAAGATTGTAAAAACATTTTCTAATTAAGTGAAGGTATGTTTAAAAAGGGGGAAGCGACAGTTAGAAAATATGCTTGGGTCATTTATGTGTCTGTTTGGCACAAATAATTTTCCCCTGAGAATATGGAAGCTAAAAATTTTGATCATTCATGTCTACAGTTATAATAATACAGATGTAAATATTGCAGTGTTCCTAAACCTAGCCCGTCATGGCATCTTGGTTAATATTGACAGAGCTTCTCTATGTGATGGATGAATTTTTATTTAAATGGAAATATAGAGGTTTACTTTTGTCTCCTTCTATCTCCCCTCCCTCCCTCTCTCCCTCTGTGCCCCTCCCTCCCTCCTTCTGTTCTATCCTTCTTGCCTGCCTTCCTTCCTTCCTTCCTTCCTTCCTTCCTTCCTTCCTTCCTTCCTTCCTTCCTTCCTTCCTTCCTTCCTTCCTTCCAAGCTTTTCTCTTTTCTTTTTCTTTCATTCTGTAGCCCAGACTAACCTAGAACATACATGTAGCATATACTTGAACTGTAGCAGTTTTCTTACCCCAGCCTCCTAAATGTTGGAACCACTGTCATGGAAGTGTGTGTGATCATTGTCTGTATAATATCACAGATATTTTTGTTTGAGCTGAGCATCCCATGTATCACAAGAATTAGATAGATGTGGATGAATTGTTAATTGTGGTATTTCTCTTGAGAGGAAAAGTTATGAAGGACACGTGACTACTTTTTAAATGATACTACCAGTGAAATTAAGCAACCGGCATTAAGAGTCTTTAGTAAGCAGAAAGACAAAAGATTGTAAATATGACTACTGCACTAGGGCTAGTATATCTATGAAGGCCAAGTATGTAGGTTCATTGCTTTTCCACATCACACGATACAGATGTCTTTTTGCTCATCTGAAAGGAAAAATGGGTTCAACTCCACATTCAAAAGTATTCTTTGAAATGCTCCTTCAGAATGAATCATTGCACAAGAAAGATGAGTGATAAAGGGACATAGGAATTCTGACAAATAACAGGGAAGGAATAAAGAAAACATTTGATTGGTTGCTGCATGTGTATATTTTTAAAAGAATCCATTGTCTCCTGGCCAAGTGACATAGTAGAGCCATGTATTTGTACAGCACAGGCAAAAAGCACTTTTAGAATTTATTTTTTCTTCATAAAGAATGCTAATTATTATATATACTTCTTTATTTTTACTTATTACATACTTCATTTAATATATTTTCACTATATATTACCGGTCAAGAAAGATAACCAGTTTAATATATAGTTTATAAACTGGAACTTGGTTTTAGCATTATTTACTTATATGAAAACTATTTGATATATTCGACATTACACAAATTTCTGTGAGTTTTTGTAATAAATAATCATCAACCTATTTTTGGCTGAAAATGAGATGCCAGTCACACACGCATTTTGCAGACTCTAAATGCGCTATAAAGGAAAAAGAGGGTACACTGTATATGAATTATGATTTGACACGGTTGATTGCTGCTAGCGGCCAAATATGCTTTCCCTTTGCTGTCTGCTCCAATTTCTCTTTGGAAGGGCTGAGAGAGCACTGCATGTTCAGGTCAAGATGTTTGCTCAGAAATAGTAGTACACTCACAGCTGTGTTGGCTGGGGCAGGAGACTAGTTTAAATAGCATTACCGTTTATCCAGTCCATTAAGAGACCTCTGTAAAATAATCCCAACTCTGTGTAAACTACAGGACAGTGCAATAAAATTACAAGCACTTGTTGACAGATGGACAGTGTAAGTAAAGGGGAAGCAAAGGATGAGAGGGTGAAGGTTAAAAGAGAGCAGTTTCCCTGCCTTCTACAGGGAGATTCTTTCCTCCCCTCTGCTCCTCTGATTCTGAGGTTTTGCATTTTTACGATCCACCTAAGAAAGAATGGGGGACGATTCTTTTCAGGGCAATCTGGAGCTAGTTAACTGAATCAGACTGTGGTGAATTTTGAAGAGGTTGGCCACTATGGGCTGAACCCAATGAACAGCATATGCAAATCTTCCAGATAAGCCTGTCCTTCAAGGTAGCTTGCAAGTGTGTGATGCACCATTTCCCATCCGAGTTTGCAGCTGCTTATTCAGGCTCATTTGAGAGGAATTTCATTGATGGTACCATGAATAAGCATCTGATTGTAAATGTTTGTTTTGTGGTTTTCAGTTTATTGCTTTGAGTATTACTATATTTACCAAGAACTCTAGCCTAAGTTTTTGTATCCAAGGCACTTTATAGAAACTCATCTTTCTTTAGTATCTTCCCAAGCCCCAAGAAAATAAAAATAAAAGATATCTACCTATGTCCTCATGTCACACTTATCACACTCTTTTTGAATAGTAATCTTATTTGTGATTCGAAGTGGAAATTATTCTTCAAAAAGTCTGAGGCCCATCAAACTTCCTGAGATTATAAATGTTAAAGCCAAACACACTTTTTTATTGGTAGTGAATTCTTAGTGGAGATAATAGATTTTTCATTGCTTAAATTGATTGGTCATGTGGAAACCCTTACCTTTTTTTTTTTTTTTTTTCGAGAGGGTTTCTCTGTGGCTTTGAAGACTGTTCTGGAACTCACTCTGTAGACCAGGCTGGCCTTGAACTCACAGAGATCCATCTGCCTCTGCCTCCCGAGAGCTGGGACTAAAGACGTATGCCACCACCACCCAATTTGTGGCAACCCTAATCTTAAGAAACCTCAAATTGTCAAAATGCTTTCTTATAGCCATAGTCAAGGGAAACTTATAAAAGAAATTTCAGGTTTTATTGTTTTTTACCAAAGCAACAAATTAATTTCTCTAGTGTAACAAGCACACAACTAAGCCGTCTTTATTTCATTTTTCCTCACTTCCATGGCAAAAGTCTTCATTGATTTTGGCAGTTTCTAGAAAATAATATGTTCTTGTAAATAAGATTTTTTTTTTTAATTCAGAAAACTAAAACCTTGTTTATATTTGTGAATTATAATCTAAGTTTTGTTTTATAATTGGGCTTATCAATACTCTCCATGCATGTATTATAAAAATGATTTAATATCCCCAGGGTCTAGTGTGAGACTTGAAGCTTGTAAGGTCTCAATAAATGATGTATTGAATTAAGTCTCTGTTGGGTTCCAAGTTTGCAACTTGAATGAGCAAGCGATAACTATGGGAAGGTTTTATGAATTATAGAAAACAAGAGATAACTTGCCTAATTAAATGTTTGGTTCCCTTTGGTTTTCTAAACATTGAATGGTTTCAGTAGACATAGCACAATTAAAACCATACCTTTCTTAAAATTTTCATTTAATCAAAATACATCTTAGATAGAGGCAATGCTATGTACTTATATACAACTAACCTTGTTTTGGGATGTCAAGAGAGTCTCATTAAGATTCTTGTAGTCAAGCATAAAGGCAGAGTACGACAGTGGAACCGTGTAAAAAATTCCTCTTGAATTAATTTCTGCCAGCTCTGATTAAAGTGTGGGCCACTAGAGGTGTCAGGTGCCATAGTTTCCAGCTTCATTTTACTCTTGGCCTGTTTGCCCCTGCCACAATAAATCTGACTTTGGCTGTGCAGGAATTGCAGGTTACAGTTGCTACGGTTACCATTGTCCAGACTGGGATCATTATTCTTGGAGGGAGTCACTGTGATGGCTACCGCTGACTTCACTGCTGAGACTGCCTGAGAGTCTCAGGTGCTGAGGGGGAAAGTTCTGCAGGAAGAGCCCATCTGTCCTGTAGTCCAGTTAGGGAAACATTATGTGTGTTTTGGATTGAAACTTTGGTGAGCCATTCGATTGTATGCGTATGTTTGAAAACAAAGAGTCTTCAGGACAGAAAGTATAGAAGTGTTAACTTCAGTGATTTAAATGCCAGCCCTTTATTACTTATTTAGTAGCATATTACTTGTTTTTACTTGGCCTGAGAGGCTCTGATTTTGTCACTTAAAAATAGAGATGCACAAGATTTAAGTTTAAAAGATTGCCACTATGTTGTTCAAATACTTATTTAAATGATATATATTTAGTTATTTACTTATTTACTGGCTGACTTATTGAGTCTTCGTCTTAGCATGTAGTCATGGCTGGCCTGGAATTCACTATGAAGACAGTACTGTCCAGGAACTGTGTGCAGCATTCTTCCTGCCTCAGCCTCCCCAGTGCTCCAATAACTAAACAGGAATGTGCCACCATTTCAGGTTAATTTTTAAGTGTATGGAAAAAGAAAATGCTATAAGAATACCTGTGCATACTTCGGAGTAACTGTTGTCACAGACCAGCAAAACAATGTTATACTAACTATTCAATAACACTCCGATTTATTTTAAGTCAACATTTATACAAGAAGTTATATGTCGAAAATCAAATGAAATTAAAGGTTGTTATTAAGACTGTTCCAGCTTGGTTTCAGCTTTTCTTCAAAGGGGCAGCTAGTAGCTTTGTTAGTAATGATGATCAAATTTTTGTGACACCTGCCACGTGGACACTGACTGTGAAATCTATGACATAGTGCCTGGTGTCAGAAAGCCTGGAGCAAGGAGGTTGTTCTAAATCTGCTTAAAAAATGTTTCCTTCACCCATACATATTCTTTTAAACATAACATTACTTGCCCCCATAAGGTATTCTGCATTGGGTTTTGAGAACACTGTAATATAGGGGAAAATTTGACATGCTATGGAAAGTGGTATTTAGGCTTCAGCTTTTATTAATATGTAAATTAAAACCTAGGGAGTTCATTGAGAATCTCAAGGTTTCCTGAAGCATGCATTTAAATATGTGGTTTTCAAGCCAAAAATATATCATCATATATACATATTTAGGTAATTTTTGAAACCTTTATAAATCATTAATTTGTCAGGCAATCTGAAGATTATAATTTGGGAACTGGGTTCTATATAAATTTTATTCCTACATATATGAACTGGTGAAATTAAGCTACACTGAAGTAGTTTTAATGTATGTACATGTTTACATTGTATTTTAAGTCATTGAAGTCAACTTGATTTGCCTTGTGAAGAAGGTGGTTTGAAGTACTGTATAGGTTACATTGAATATTTGGGGTTCTTCTATCTCTGGAAGCCGCTTGCCTCTAGAGTCAAGTTTTCTTACCTGTGAAATTGGAAGGATCATAGTATCTACATTCTGGGAGACATCACCTTTCATTCAGATTCTATATTCAAAGCAATATTGCTTTCAAGTAAGTTTAAAATTCTGTTTTAATTGTTACTAATGTCTCATTACAAACACAGTGAAGATAAGAATCACCCAGATGTCCCTGTAATTTTCCCTCAGTCAGCCAGGTTCATGAAGCTATCACTTTACCTTGAAATCCATCTTCAGTTTAGTAGCTAGTAAATATGCAAAATCACCTAATCATTCCAGCATCATTCACTGACACCTGCACAATTTCATTTCTCTTGGCTGCAGAAGGTGTATCATAGCCAGGATATTTTTAATAAGCTTTCATCTCATTCTTCCAGTTGATGATTAATGCAGTTTTAGGCTTCATAGATAAGATGGATCAGGGTAGGAACAAGTTAAATGTGTTAGTTCACATTTAAATTACTGTTTTGATGATGGGAAAGTGAAGGGAAATAGATACTGCATAAAATCTTGCAAGAATATCAGAAAAGATTCTGAGGATGTCTCCAAAATTCACATCAGTTCCTTGGTTTAGAGTCATTTTTAGTATTATATGTAGATGCAGTAAAATATCTATCTTAATTATGACACTATGATATTTCACTCACATTATTTTCTCACAGAGTTATAATAATAAAGTGGGGGGAATTGGCCTGTATATTTTAAAGTGTATGTGTGATTTTAAATGTATTTTCCAGATACTTGTTTTTTCCAATGCAGTAAAAAAAATCACAAACTATTTAGCACTTTGAATTTAAGCCCTGTTTTATAATGAAACAAGATAGAGTCAGGAGATGTTTTTGTTTTTCTCTGCTTTTGTCCTAGTGCTGGTATTACTCAGTGCCCATGTGCTGTAGTCAGGGGGATACAGTGTGTGCACCTGGTCACCTGTGTTTCACAATCACACTAGTCCCTCATTCTTGACCTCTTTATAGGGGGGTTTCTTGAAATACTTTGAGAAATTGTTATTTAGTAAAGCTTTTGACAGAAGTTTACAAAAAAGGCGAGTTCCAGAAAATGAAACAATAAAAAAGAGAAGGAAGGAAGGAAGGATAATTGCTTTCATTATCACATCACTCACACTGGGACATCACATTGTGGTGTAAAACGTTATTAGGAGAGCATTCCTGCTTCTTGAAATGATCCCAAATCAATGTTTATGGCTGAGTGTAGAGACTTGCTTTAAGTGTTTAAAGTCATCTGAAAGGAAGGAGAAATCAGTCAATCTGGATAAAGCTTGGAGGAAAGATAGCTTTGCCCCGTCACTATAAGTTTCTTCTTCAAGTGAGAGAGTAAAGCCAGACTTGAATAGCTGAGTGCAGCAAGGAGAAAGCTTCATCGCTCCCCCTCCAACTGTTCCAACTGATTGAAAAAAAAAGCCTAATTTAAAGTTCTGTTTGTTCTATGTCTTAAACCACCAGACTTCTCGTTTAGGACTGGAGGAATGCTCCAGAGGAAAAGAATCTGAGGATAAAAAGTCATTGCAAGCCAACAGTTGTTCCTAATCCTCACAAAATGCTGGAGAAATTAAATTTATTCTTTATTGCTCACAATGTTACCTAGGTCACTAGGCGATGGGAAAATTGGACTGGGAGTCGAATAGGCGCAAGCTTTGTTTTGTGTCTGGATGCTTAACCTTAGACACTACAAGGCATCTTAGAGTGTTGTGGGAACTAAGTTCAGAGCCTTTACACCAAGACTTTTATTACCCTGGATTTATAACAGGCTGTGCTGTCAGGAGATGAAAATGGTGTGTGTACATTGCAGTGTTAAATGATCATTTAATTAACACCTAAGGGGAAAAAACCTTGTGAAATTCTTAGCAGCTTTCACTGTTGGTTTCCTGGGAGGTTTTAATATCCAAGGTTCATTGAAATTTCTTTTTCTAAGTAGAGACACAATAGACATGATAAACTTTTTAAGGAAGACAAACAATTTAACCTTGACCCCCTTCATTCTCTGTAATAATAATTAAAATTCAGTTTTCAATGTGGAATGCTTATTTAAAAGGTTTCGAGACTAATAATTTTAAATGCATCTTAATTAAACATTTTAGATAGAGATTTATAAGTTTATAAATGTGTAAATACATCAACATTGTTGAAATTACATTCTAAATTTTAAATTATAAAATAATTACACATTACTAATATAAATACATAAACTTATTTAAATTCCCTTCTAAAACTTTTGATTGAAAAGCCAGCAAAATTACCAAACAATCTAAATTAGTTTAATAAATTTGGAGTGTTACTTCAGCTTTTTTATTTTAAGGTACTGTATTTGTATTGTTTTACAGCTCTGGCTCAAAGTAGGTACTTAGAAATTTAAAAAATTCTATGGGAAAAAAGTACATTATTGTATTATTTTACTGCAGTTACTTTGGAGACAGATACTGCTTTGATGAAAGTTATATATAGACAATAGAGAAGAATAATGCTATTAACCTGAAAGTTCTAAATTACTTTACTAAAATATCGAGCAAGAGCTCTCAGATATCTTAATTCTTTCATGTTCTTTTATGAGACAACTGATTAAAAAGAATGGTCTTCTGCAATATGGTTAACATGGAAAGTACAAAATGTACCATTAGGAACTGTTGTGTGCTAACTGACACTTTAAAGACATGTCTAAAAAATGTGCATGAGCTTCTCTCATTTATCTAGGCATGAATTTTCAATCTGAACATGTGAAACTTGGAAGGTTTTTACTAGATTGTATACTGGTAAAGTAAAATATTCCTTACATTAGTCTAGGAGTTACCATACTATCATAATGTAGTTTTTCCTTGTTTCCATATTAAAATTTTGTTTTATTTATTAATGTTACCTGTCTGGGTATGTGTCTTTCTCATGTGTATGGACGTCCACACACTCACTTTTGTGGTTTGCATGTGAAGGTTCTAGAAAAACATTTGGAATTGATTGTTTCTTCTACGTTTTGATACAGCATCTCTCTTGGTTCCTGCTGTTCTGAGTACTCCAGGCTTGCTGGCGTTTGAGCTTCCTGCTGGACCCAGTCCCTTTTCCCTGTCTTGAGCATACTGGGATTACAGATGTGAGCTGCTGCATCAAGCTTTCTTGGCATTCTGAGGATTGAACTCAGCATGTAGAAGGCACTATTCTTTATGAACTGTCTGACTAGCCCTTATGGGGTTTTTCTATGCACACATTTTTTTTTCTTGTTGAAACAAAAGAAACGCTTATCCCTGTCTATGCACTTTGTTTTTCTTAAATCCCAGACTGTGGCAGAGGAGAAGATGTTCTTGAACTTCTGTTATTCAGTTTCCACAGCTAGAGTGCTGGGATCACATCACATCTGGTATATGTGGTGCTGGGGAAGTAAGTCAGTCTAAAGCATGCAGGGAAAGCACTCTGTAATCTAACCCTCATTCCCAGTTACTTATCCAAATTTATTTTAAATCAAATATCTAAAAGCAAACCTACTTCGTTCATTACTCACTGTA